GCTCTGACAAACACAGATGATTAGCTGAGTCTAACTGTAAGGTGGAAGCAGTCCAGTAACTTTAATATATTTATTTCCTTTCTCCATAAATGAAGTATTGGACAAGCTGATACAGCATTTCATATTTCCCCCCCTAATTTGTACAAATGTTTTTTGCACTTAGTCTTGACTATTTTCATTGAGAGAATCATTAACCAGCACTGTCTAAGTGCAGAGAAGGCCACCCTCACAAATGGCAGAGAAAGGTGAGCCTGACATTTGGATCAAAGGCATGCAGAAGGTTGTTATTTTACTGGAATGGATGCTGGAACTGTGCTACAGAAAGCCACCACTCTGGGCAAAGAAAAATGGAGGAGGAACAAACAACTAAAACAGCATAATGTATTTCCATTACATAATTTTCAAGTCAACTTAACAGACAAAGACAACTGTAATATTTAGCTAGAAATAAGGCTGCACGCAGATTAGAGAAGTGTGGTGTCCGTAGCAAACTTTAGTTAGTATTTGTTCACATGCCTTCAAATGCCATTTTATAGCCACTGCAGGAACAGATATTTCTGTATCAGGCCAGGCCTGTATGTAAAATTCTATTATAACTCAACAGGGGTAGGATTTTTTCTTATGCAGATATATCAGTAAAAGCCCTATGGTAGACACAATTAAGCTAGCATAATGGTGCCTAAATCTATACCTTAGGGTATAGACTTTTTTAGACCCAAGGCACTCCTGGATAGACTTTGTCACAGCTCTTAGTTTTCACTTTCTGACTACAAAACAATTTAAAAAGCAGTTTTTCTGTTTCAAATAACTCAGAAAGACCACAGCTATGGATTTCTATTTGAAATCTCTGCGTTTCTCTCTTGAATCATCTTTGCAAACCTAACAGTGCTAATATTGTGTGGCATCCTGAGGCACTCTTAAAAGGACCTTGAGGCACCCCATGTTCTCATGACACCTTGTACGAGAATCACTGGCCTAGACAAACAATCAAGTTACTTGACTACAAACAATCAAGTTACTTGACTACCCTGTACAAACCAAGGGTAAGCTATCTTGTTTAGCTTTTACCAACCCTGGAACAACTGCAGGCACATCAACAGTTACTGTGCATTGATTATGCTATGTTAAGCCCCCACTTCGTTCATACCCCTACCGATAAAACTTATTTTGGATTCTGAATCAAAATAAGCTATATCAGTGTACTAGTGCACACTAACAGGAGTGGTTTGCTGCTTTCACAATATAAGAACACTCAGTGACAAAAATTTCCAGCACAGAAAATCCTCGTGTTATTCCGGCCCTCTCTATACTTAGAAAACATCCCCTTACAAGAACCTGATACACTTCTGAAATGTAGTTAAACTATGTGTTAGTTATCATATTTGTTTAAAAAAAACCCAAATTTTATTTTTTATAGCCTAGGCAGGACCCAAGAAAACTATGCAACTGGATCAAATACATTTTAAATCAAGTTAACTAAATGAGTAGAAATCCCCAGGATTTCAACGCTATGACTCTTAATTTTTAGCTTATTTCTTTAAAGACTTTGCATGGAGATTTTCACAAACAACTGAAGAGGAAAAATTGGCATTTGAAAATCCTGTCCCTATCAGATAAAAAATAATTTCTTGTTTATTAGTAGGGACCTACTTAATTTGCAGTTTTGCAGAAACTGAAATAGGGAATTTTCCACAAAAATCAACAACAAAAAAATTTTTGATAAGAATAAAATGTTGACTCCCCAACGGGAGCCAGCAGTCCTTACTGCTGGGGAGGAAAGCAGAGAAGGGAAGCAGAGAAGATGACAACTGCCCCTTCATCCCTCCTTTTCCTGCCAGGGCCTCTCTGCCAATGCACACTGAGGCACAAGACCTCTCTGCCAATCAGGACTGAGCTACTGAGACACAAAATGCCTGTAAAATCAGCTCTGCACTCCACAAATGAGCCGGGAAAAACCCTTTGCTTTGCCATGATTTAAGTTGGTCCCTATTTATTAGACAAGTATCAAACAGGCAATGGATGCTTACCTGCAAGGAAACATAGTCACAAGTGCATTTAATTCATAAAGAAGTTCCTTTATGAACCCATCATTTTTAAGATTCTGTACTTCTATGCTCCTAACTCTCTCTCGCATCTTTAAACAAGGAGTGTCAACCATATAGCCCATGGGCTGTCTGGTCCATGGGACTCTCCTCCAACTTCCACAGCTTCTGGTAGGCCTGAGAATTTAGAGGTGGGGAGAACAGGGGACGAAGCCTGCTGCAGAACTCCAGGCTATGGGGCTGTGATGGAAAGGACCTTCTGCAGCATAGGGGTGAGCAACAACTGTGCCAGTGCAGTGCTGCCACTTGCACTGCTCCCTGCTCCATCACTGCTGGGTCCAGACCAAGCCAGGGAGGAGCTCCATGGTCCACATGCACCCTGAGGGGATGGGGTGAGTTGGACACTGCTGCTTTAGACTAGTGGTTCTCAACCTTTTTTATACTGGGACCTATTAACATAACCATCAGCTTGCTGTGAACCACTCAGTTCCTGACCCACAGAGTCTCTCTCTCTCCCTCCTTCCCCTCCAGCTGCTGCATCCAGCCCCCTCCCTCCCTCTGTCAATGCTTTATGCCACCTGGCTGTCCTCACCACACCCCCCACACTGTGCTGGCACCATGCAGCCTTGCAGTGTTTCCCTTAGACTGCCTTGCGATTCTTTAAAATCTCCTTGAGACCCAATTTTGGGTCACAAACCCACAGGATGAGAAACACTGCTTTTGGCTACATGGAATATGCCACATTTTTTCACATACACAGCTTGCTTTTAAAGGCACAATGACAAAAAAAATAGATCTTTTTCTGTAGTGAGTAAGTAGCAGCAACTAGAGAGCCAAACGTACACAGCGTTCTGCTCCCTATGGATCACCGCAGATTTTACTTGCATTTTCACCTGGAGTGGCAGAAACTGATTTTACTCTACTTCCTGCATACAATGAACAGTCCAATTTCCAGGAGCTGCTTTTTGGGGAAAAGGGGTGTGTGTGTTATGTGATGAAATTCAATAGTTTTGCTAAAGAACATTTAACAAAGCATTCCAAGACTGTACTTCAGGCAAAATGGAACTACTTACCAACAATTCTTCCTGTTGCTGATGGTCGACTGAACAGATATACAGCTGCAGCGATTTTAATTTCAACACGCTCGAGGGCACAGGGATTTGGAAAACTTCATTAAAAATTAACGGAGACCGGAATTCCAAAACTCTGGAGCAGTATGTAGTTGGTGTGCCTGACTCCAGCGGTGGCAAGTAAACTCTAACATGACTAGGAACAGCAGATGAAACAAAGAAACTCAGGGTCACAGTTTTTATTTTGGAGTTTGTTTTTTTTTTAATGTTGCTAAAACTCAAACTCTATGATAACAATAAATAGGGGTGCACCGATCAAGTTTTTTTGGACTGATACCAATGGCTGATTGTTAACCAGCCATACTGGCCAATATCTACCCGATTTGCAGCCCGGCAGCTGCAATAGCAGTGTCTCGCTGGTAAGGGGGAGGGGGGAGGGAAGAGGGAAGACCGAGGCCCCTGCAGTGAGGGAGCAGTGCTGGGGCAGAGGCAGACACTGCCCAGTTGGGTCAGTGCGTGGGACAGAGCTGTGAGTAGCTCACTGTGGGGCAGCCCCCTCTACTGTGTGCACCCCTGGGGGAGGCATGGAGGGTGTGCACCTCCTTGATCTGTGAGTGGGGCAATGCTGGGCTGCTACTGCCCACTTGGGGCTAGGGGCGGTGCCAGGCTCGTCTCGGTGCAAGGGGCTAGGCCAAGGTTGCACTTGTGCCGGGCGGCGGCAGCACTGGGTGGGGAGCACCCCATAGCCCTGTTACTCTGTGACCGTACACGCATTTGTGTAGCTTTAGGACACAAATTATTTAGGACATAAATTATATTTAACTGGACCTTCAGTGGGTAGAAAACAATTCCAGTGATCAGAAAAAAACTCTCACTCAGTAGGGTTTATGCTAGTTTAACAACTGCATTGGGAAAAAAATAATTTACAACAAAGTGATGAATTTTCATAAATTTTTCATAGTGACACAGCTAATTTCTTTGTTGAAATCAATTTAACAATCTGGGTTTTATTTCAAACAGGATCTGCAGTCACAAAACCCAGAGAAATAAACCATTTTTCTAGGTATCAACCAAAAGTTATTGTGATGGTACTTTTAAAAAGTTGTGAAAACTACAAGACTTTTATCTTGTAGATCTTAACATAATGTAATCCTAGAGAAAAGATATATTTTAGGGGTAACAAATACAATAAATATCTTATACTGTAAGACTGGGTATTTGGGAGAAGGGAGGGGTACAGGACGGTAACAGAAAAGTAGTTATAAATTTTTTCTTATTTCTGATGAAGAAGATGCTGGAACTAGACATGGGTTATTAGAGCTCCCAACAGTATGTCCTTGCATAAGGAGAATGTTGCCATGATAAATAAAGAGGTTTCCATAACAGTTACTTCTTCACATTCAGAAACATTATTACAACAAGACAGACCTAACAGCAATGAAAATGTTTTGCATACCTTCCAAAATGCTGTCCCATTTTACATTAAAAGCACCTGGCTATATTAATTACATATTTAGGAACTGGGCAAAAAAAAAAAAAAAAAAAACAATAATCATGCCTTGTGGGTCATGTTTTTTTATATTTTACAGACTT